TATGTACCAGGAGCACCTTAAAAAACCACAACAAATTCCTTGTGTGTTTGCACACACCTGGCGAATAAGGCTAATTCTGATTCTTATTCTGATATAGGTTATAATCCATCAATTCGCTTAACTAATTCATTGTCAATGCTGTTTCAGAGCAATACTTGAAAATTACCAATAGGTGTCACCGTAGAGACGGGTGTCGAATTGTTTCAAAGCCTCGGCACATTTGCTTCGACTATTTCAGTGTTTCACGAAGCCTTGCTCTTCCCATCACTACTAGAAACTAGGACAGGGAACTGGCTCCATAAAGTTGCTATCACTGACAGAGAGATAAGCGCAAACAACACTCGGCCCTGAACGGTGGTTAGCGCCTCATATTTAAATTGTGTGTGATTGGCTGCAGTTGAGTGCGTAATCAGTGTAATGGAACATGGGAAATATAGTCCAGGGTGACGTGTAACAGTCTGTGTGGTGTGAGAGTCAATATAATGCAAAGGCGACCTCTGGTGGCGAGCAGACCGAAAATCAAGGACAGGATTCATGACAAAAGGAAAGAACACACCAGGAGAAAAAAGAGAGGTATTTTCTCTGAGGCAGAGGTGTAAAGAGTACCTAAAAACCATACTTGAGTAAAAGTACAGATACCTTACAGTGAAAATTTCTCCACTACACGTTACAAGTCACCAATTCCCAAACAACTTGAGTAAAAGTCTTAAGAGTACTCTGAGGCCCTGATTCCATCTGGTATTGAAATACATTTTCGGTGATCCAATCACAAGTGCTCAGAGGTAACGAGTAGGTTTGCGGTGTGGTCACATGCCTGCTGTCTACCTGCTTCTGTGGTTTCAGTGATAGCACAGGCAAAGGGTGAACCAACTGCAGGGTAAGGCTAAGAGCCTAATGCTAGTGTAATCTATTAAGTACGCATATAATAAACCTGTATTTTTAGGCAAGTACCAGATACGGGTGTCACGACAAAAAATATTTTATACGGCTGAATTTGTATTTAACTTGATGACAATTTAATATAAACATTGTAAGTTTTTACCTGATTTACCTGATAAGTGCCCACCACTTGTGATCAGATCATCTTCCAGGTAGAAATGAGGCCTAGCGGTTTCTGGAAGCCGGTGGGATTTGTCCCAGTCTAGGTACAGAAGACTATGATGGAACCATTCAGGAATCTAATTCCATTCTAAAAGCACATGCCTCGTAATTGGATCAGACATGTCAGTTATGAATTAGCCCTCGGGCAAAGAGTGGGTCAAGTACGTCACTCAAAAGTGCTGCGAGGTCATCTTTCATGTAGAAAAGAAACACTAATGCTTTATTTCCCTTATCTGTTGATGATTGGAGCAGAAAAAATCACAATAATCCACATGTAATCCACACCACTCCAGTCCATCAATTAAATTACTATGAAGTGAAAAGCTGTGTGTTTGTAAGACGGTTAAAAAATTCAAATCACCACTTCTGGCTAAAATATAAGTCCATAATCCATAGAAGAATGCAATATTATGGATAGAGGCCTCACATTTTAATGCAATGAGTCATGTACTGGTGTGGGAAAAACAATCCCACCAAACAATGTTTATCGTATTTTACTTGAAATATAAAAGGTTACAGATATGCAGAGGTTGAGATGATCAAAAGGTTAAATGCTTTAGGAGAAGTATGGATGAACAGCTGTGAAGAAAGGTTAGTGAGATGGGCTATCAGGTAATATACATAACTAATACTGTGATGAGTTATTAGCAAGGTAATGAGGAAGTTGTGTGATACATTGTTTTGCCCACCTGTTCTGCTTTTGAAAAAGTGGCTATATGGTTAAACCACCTGTTGGGGAAGATCCTCCTGAAGTCAAGGGAGAAATTCAAGAGTTGATTTGGTTCAACATCCACTTTCTGAAATCGTAATTATATTTTTATTTAACTTCTTCAATTTGAAAATGTCCTTTAATATAGCTAGTATTTCATTCTAACAAAAACGTAAAGGAGTTTATGTAGAAGGTCTCCTGAAAAATCCAAGTCAGATCCTCATAATTTTCAGCCGCATGCCACTTCTTTTTCCTGTTTCTGCACTTTGCTTCACGAGGAACCTATGGGTCATGGCTAAGAGGCTAAAATTGCTCTCAGATGTTGCAGGATTAAAAGGCAGACAAGAAATGATTTAATCTTAATCTACCATCTCCAGCAAGCATCTTCAGACGAGCTTCTGATTAATGTGGGGTATGACCAGTGCTGCAGGCTTGGCATTTTTTTATTGGATTTTAAAATTTTCTGTTTTAAATATAGTTAAAGTTCTAGTAATTCTGTGGCTTTTTTATTTTTATTTTATTTATTTATTTTTGTTTTTTAATGTCTACAATAAGTTTAGTTTAGTTATTTTAAACTTTTAAACTTAAAATGAAAAAGAGAAATTAAATGACATTTTATTAAATCTTTAAGGTTTTTATTTTATTTTAAAATATTTTTTTATAATAATGTTCTCCGTGGAGGTATGTTGGGGATGATGATGCTTTGTTGTCACCTACTAATGTGTAAAGTAAGCGCTGTCTTACTGCAAGTAATTATGAAGTTTATTAAGTTAATTTTGTTTATGTGTGTGTCTCACGGAACATTCTTAGTGTAATCAGCAATCTCAAACATGCGAGTGCAAATCATTTTACAAATAGAAGTGTAAATATTTAGCTACTTGCCATTTTAGCCTTTTTTTCAGTGGCCTACTGTTGATACAGAGACTTTTCATTATTTATTTATATGAATTCCTTCCAAAAATCTGTATTACCTTATTTCTGCCATAGAGCATAAAAGGTGAACTTTTAGGTGAATACCTTTTCCATTTAACGGAGGGAAATAAGGACTGCTGACAACAACAACCACAAAAAAAGCATCATAAAAGGTACTGTAAAACATCAGAAGACTAGAAATACAATCACATTATTATACAAATTATTTATTATTAATTATTCATGGTCTTTTTTTTATTGAGTTGGACAGCCCCATCCTCATTCATTTTCATTATACTGTAAATTATATTCATATCATAAATAAGGGGTTTCTTGTGTTGTTTGATATTAAGATATTACCTCTATATGGGTAAGCTCTGGGTATCCATTCAGGTTTGACACAGGGTCTCAGTTAAAACTATACTGAACTACAATCTAAACCGCCATCAAACAGAAAACCTCATACCGGCTAGCAGCAGGGCCCCAACATGACTGTTTTTTCAAGATTCATTTCCCTGTGGGATCCATGTGGAATGAGGATTTTAATCCCATGCTGTACATTCCCATGATACGTGCAAGGTTGTCCAAGATATGTGACTTCTGACGTACCTCTGCTTTCAACTGACTTTTAGTTAACAGGGAAGCAGAAAGAAGGAAAAAACATGCTACACTCTTAAAAATAAAGGTGCTTCAAAAGGTTCTTCAAGCGATGCCATAGAAGAACCATTTTTGGTTCCACAAAGAACCATTCAGTCAAAGGTTCTTTAAAGAACCATCTCTTTCTTATCTTTTTATAATCTGAAGAAGCTTCTTTCGCCACAAAGAAGCTTTTGTGAAACAGAAAGGTTCTTCAGATGTTAAAGGTTCTTTATGGAACCATTTAGACAAAAAGGTTATTCTATGGCATCGCGAAGCACCTTTATTTTTAAGAGTGTAGTTGAAATATACATAGAGAACCAGGGTTTAAACTTTTCCATTTTTTAATTATTGAACAAATTTGAATAAAATGTAGAGTGAAAAAATGTCAGGATGTCGTAGTTATAGGAATGTTCCCATTATGCTTAATGACAGCAGAATAAACAAGAGCTGACATGAACAAAACCGGATGATCGTGTTCTCCAGCGTGACTTAAGAAGTAAGCAAGAAAACTCTGTAAAATTTTTTTTTTTACTTTCAGTTAATTTGTGACCTAGAACATAATTTTAAATATTCATTATTCATTTTACACCATAACATTTCTCAAAATCGCAAAATATGATTGTTCATATTTTCTTTGTGGTCTCAGACTTTTCGACCCCACTGTAAATTCTTTATATTTGAACTGCAGTTTTACGTGCTATAAAAAGGATTCTAAGATTAGAATAATATTTATCTTATATTCTAGCACTATTAATGCGTACTACTACTATAATATTCTTAGCACTATTTTTCATCATTAATATTTTTCATTATTGTTTGCATCATTTGTTCAATTGTTTGAATTTTTTTACATTTTTGAAGTAAAATGTATAAAATGAGACTTGATCAACACACAGTATAAAGAGAAAAAAAGTTTATGTGGAAACGTGTTGACAAGTAAAGACCTGAAGGCCAGATTGTTACCACATGTCAGGGATGGACGGCACACTTTTACAAATAAAAAGTAGTGTAAGATGTTTGGACAAATTGCTTTGTCCCACACTGTTTATAGTATTGGAAGGTATGTTGGAGATTAAATCAATCAATCATCTGGCATCGCAGTTTCAGTTCACACAAAATATCATCTAGCTCTTCTTTGTAAATATTTGGGATGCTGACATTTATAGGTCATTTTGATACATGCTAACAGTTGTTTTATCAGCTAACAATGCTTTACAGAATGAATATTCTAAAATGTCAGGTAAATTGTATGTAAAATCATTTCTGAAAAACTGTTTGTCAGCAATTATGTTTGAAACATTCAAAGTCAGAATTCTGTCTATCAGTCAACAAAAGCATTAAAAGAGCAGTGTTGAGGCCAAAACATGCACTGGATATAATTTACTGTCACATTTTTAATAAAAATATTTGCCCCCGCTGGACATGAACCACTCTTATGCCCAGTTGAATCATTTTACTAACAGCTCTTGTCTAAAGCTGCATTTTAAGCACTGGAAACTCCAGTGTGGTCCTTTGATTAATGGGACTGCTGATAGAGCATGTAATTTATGTCTCTTGAGGTAGGAAAAAACATTGTAATGAGTATAAAATGTTGAAAGGATTTTTCAGAATTAATATCAGACCTCTGTAATTACCAGACTTGTCATATTGGAGCACGTATTAGTAACCGATCTTATTTGATAAAGTGCTATTGGCATTAAAATAATGTTCTGCCGCGTGCGTGAGTGATTTAATGACATACACATGAGAACTGATTCAGCTGTGACAACACATCAGTGCGGCGTTCCAGCGGGTGGTGCCTCGCAGGCTGATAGGTGCTCACTATAAAACCTCCAAGAGCGAAACTGAGATGCTGTTCCGTCGCGCTCCACTCTTCTGTCAGCCCACAAACCTGAAAACACTACAGAGAGTGACAAAGAAAATGTTACTTTTCACTGCAGTTGGATCACTCAGCACTTCTGCTCGATCCTGGATTTTAAACTAACTTTGTTCACGGAGACTATCTGGAATAACTGTGATGGCCAGGGTGTCATTATTAATACATTTGGGAATTTTGCTTTTTATTGGACTAACAGTCGCAATGGCGAACGGTGGGTTGCACCGCATTTCACATGCAGAAAACTTGTACAGTTATTGGACTAAAATCACTCTTTGCATATAATTTATGCAATTTATAATTAATTAATCATTTATCATAAAAAAATAAGGAAGCACACAACATTTTATATATGTCAAAGTTTGCACAAAGCAAACTGTGATTTGGCGCCACACTCTAAAAAATGCTGGGTTGTTTCAACCCAACTTTGGGTCAAATATGGAATTAAATATGGTTAAAATTTTAATTTAATTGACTGACGTTTCATAAACCTTCAGTTGTTGCACTTTCAAAATTGCACCTCCTAAATTACTACACTTGTGAAGTCACAATACGTTATTGGTACAATTTACCCAAGCCGATGACAAATTTTGTATGACATCCAAAATCTTTATCCAAAGGTTTAAAACCTTTTGTTTCGAATTTCTTCGGGGGTTCAAGACCTTCATCATTGGGTTGTGTGACCCCACAGCCTCAATAGCTCTTTCTCACCCTGAGTAAACCTAAGGCTTGACCCTTAAAGTAGCCTACTTTCGATTCTGTAGCCTATAATGTCACCCATAGAGGGTAAATTGCATTTTTGACTTTAATAAATGCTTACCACATGAAGTAGGCCTAGCCTACATTTTTAAGTGAATGGACATGTATGGTAACATGTAAAATGAAATAGAAATGTGTAAAACGATTAATCGAAATGCGTGTTAGATAGAAAGGCATTTATAGGGTCCTTTTATGATAATATGATATGATGATATGATATAACACTTTATTTTTTAGTGCTGTTGCAACATGAGATTATTTTAATGTATAGAATTGCCATTTGTTCTAATTAAAGCATTTTCATATGCAGGATTTTCCTCGTTTCGTCAAGATGTGCTCATGAAAAACAGCGCGAAGGATTTAACCAAAGTATCAAGTGCGACTCCGAAGCAGTTTGGTGAGTCTGAATTAAAACCCGGAGCAAGTTATTTCTGCCAGATTCTGAAACCTCGGAGGAGAGCCAAGAGATGTACGTGTTACTCGTACAAAGACAAAGAGTGTGTTTACTACTGTCACCTGGACATCATCTGGATCAACACACCAGAGTAAGTTTCTAAGACTTGCCCATGAAATAATAATCAACAGGTGCTGAAACCCGTGAAAGGTTTTTCTTTGCAGAGTGGGATCATTTTGGACGGATTTACTGTGCCTCTGACTTCTAAATTAAAGACAGGGTTGCATTTACGACTGCTAAAACTTTGCTTTAAACCGCCTTTATGTGGCATAGCATAGTATAGAAAAACAATAGTGAATACATGTGACAACATGTTTATGAACATTCTTTATTAAAACACAATTAGGACTTGAAGACACCAAAACATTAGTAATTAATAAAACTTAATGTGGCAAGAGTTTCTGGATCGTAATAATGAATATTACTAAGCAAATGTGTTCATTGAAAATCCATTTAACATATTTAATGTAGTAAAATTGTACTCGTAATCAAGTGTTTAAGAATACAATGGTAAAGATGCACGTGAAGCCTCATCCCACTGTAAAAAATGATGAAATAATCAAACCACTGACTACTTAGAAGAAAAATGGGAGAATAAAATAATGAAGATTTGGTTGCTAAAATGAAAAACATTGAACATTTAACTGTATACGATTGTTGTCTTAGAAGCAAAAGTGAACTATTACATTTGGCAGTCTCAACAGAGACACGTGGACAAACATTCTCCTTTCTGTCAAAACGAAATTATTTCTGGCCTGCATCCTTCTTTATTACAGATAAGATTGCAAAATCCTTGTGTAGTTTAAACAAGTCACATGCATCAATCTTATCCAAAATGTTCATAATAACAATTTATTGCACGTGATTAGAGAAACTTATCTTGATTAAGAGTTGTTGGGGGAAATGTTTCAGCTTCTGCTACAGGCTCCGTCTTAGTAAACTACTAGAACTATATGTTACCAACTAAAGTTGCCATTTTAATTTATTAATATATTTAATAAATATATTAACTTTTAATGAAGAGAATTTGTCATAAGTCATGTTTGTAAAGAAGAACTGCAGCTTTAGTATATTACTTATGTAGGTCAACATAGCTACAATAATTCTTTGCACTTGAGAGTAATTAATATTCTCCGCCACTTGTCTAGGCACTTGTCTAGCATATACGACTGGCTAAAGAGAAAGGGCTGAGATCAAAGAGATGCTTGCATGACAGGATGTTTGCAGGAGTAACTCTTAGCAAATGAGGCCCATGGCTCCCTGAGTACAGCTGTTCAGATTTACTGAGCCTCAGAGTCTGCTTTATTAGTTTCCATGCAGTATAAATAAGAGTAATTTACTGAGGTGTTACCAGAAAAACACAAAGCCTAATCAACTATTGGGTGGCCTGCAATGAGTTGAAATGAAATACGTAATCAAGGTTAAACAAAAGCAAACTATGCCTGTTGTAAATGAAGAGTCTGTGTCCACACTTTTGAGCTGAGGTGTATTTCTTAATGAAACGCAAGGCTATGTGTTTTATTGTATTTGTTTTTCTTACTGTCAAATATTTTCATTTTTTTGATTGATTTACTTACTTACTAACAAACTACTTTTTCTAACTAAACGTGGTTGCCCATTAACAGAATTTGTACATGAAAGCTCTGGAGATTTCAGCAGAATTTAAGCAATCCTTTGTACATCATCCGTCCCTTTTGTGTTTTATTTTAAATTTTTTACTAATTGAATAATGCTAACTGCTATCAAGACAAGTTCAGTTCTCTTAAATTGATATGTTTTAAATCCATGCTTCTTGGTATTTGTGCGGTGAGGTTGGGATTCCCAGCACATCCATACTCCAAACTCATATTTTCTGACCTCCGCATTATGCATGGTTCAGTGTCACATTTCAGACCTCTTGGCAGATTGTGTATGTAACCTGCTCTGCCAGTGCAAAAGAAATATCAAACTGAACAGGGTGTTGAAACACTGCACAAAGACTCTCAGCACACATTAAAACCTCCTGGTTTAAACTCCCAGCTTCTGAAACTTTAAGGTGAATGGAGACGTAATATACAGTATAATTTAGAGGGAACAAAACACTTGCTGGTTTAAGTCCTTTAGT